TTTATTATCAATTGCATACACGTAATAAGTAGACATCAAAATAATCTAATTTTACTTGCCTCCTTCGTCCCAGAAGTTTGTACTAATATCTTCAATTCCAGTTTGCAAGCGTAATCACATTTTATTGAAATTGTTGCTAAGTGCACGAGTCTATTTTATACTTTACGACATAGCCCTCCTCAATCCCTCCCCCCCCCCTTAGAAAATTTTAAATGCTTCCCTTTCCGCGCTCCCGGGAGGAAAAAAGTCTGGAAAAAAACACAGAAACAAAAAAAGTTCTTGTAGTTTTGGGCTCCCTGCAGTCCTCCCATGGTAAGTTCAAAGATTTTTTGGTTTATGAAAAATAAAATGCTATAAATAATATAGATTCCAGCCTAAAATGTTATATATAAATCCTTTAGGAGAGGGTGAAAAATATGAAAAGACAATTAATTAGATGTTTAATTTACGACTGTATGTCTACTATCATTAAGTATTGCAATCTATAACGGCTACTGATGTATTTGTCTTTCAACTTGATAGTGCTAAAAAAACCTACCAAACTATTTTGTTTAGATCTTAAGCTCTATATAATTTTAACAATCTATATATACAATTCTCTTCTGGGAGACGTTAGAAAACAAGCTGCAAGCGCTCCTTGCAGTCCCCTCTCTTCCTCTCTATCGCTACCACCCCCACCCCCTCCCCCTCACATGGTCAGGTGAGCTGTGGTTCACGCTAAATGTTTACAAAACAATCGTAGAGCAGGGTTTGGTGACGGCTATTAGGGGCAGATAATTTAGTTTGAAACGATTTTAAACTTAGAGGAGGTAACTAAGAGGAGGCTGCTTTCACGGAAGGGGGGGGGGGAAGGGGGGTTTAGTGTTTTAAAGCAAATATTTTCAGTGGCAGCATTGGTACTGTCGAATTCACAAATTATGAATTACTGAAAAGTAGAAAAAACAACTAAATAGCGGCGTATGATACATCGCGGGTCGGCTCGTAGCAAATAATAAATTAAAGTTGTATTTATATCTACGCTGTCAACCTAAGGTGCAGGAATTTGAAATGAATGTAAAGTTAAGCAACGAATTATCTCCCATTTAAAAATCCAAATACCAAAATTTTATTAAAGGGGAATAACTTTAACAAGAATAGCTAAATTAACCAAGTGTCACTAAGACATGCTTGAAATTCACAATAAAACGCTCTAAATTTCATTATGTAAACATTATATCAAATATTTTATATTAGCTATGAAACCATGTGAAAAACATTTATTTTACGTATTAAATACTTAACTGTAGGTTTTGTTTGAAAGTCTGAAAACGTTAGCTTTATTATAACATACTTCCATTCAATTTTGATGGCATTTATTTTCACTTTCGCGCAACACAATTAGACAAACAAAAATTTTGGATCCCCTAAATAAAGGGACGCCTATCTAAAAATCTAATACGAGAAACTGTTTAGACATGGCTAGAATTGTTGATTACCTATAAAACAATTATTGAATTGAAATCATATAACGCACAAAAACTCAACTATTCGATGTACTCTACTACATTCACAACACATATCAAACTTCGATACCTAAACATAACTAGACTCGATGCTCCAGAACTACGACACCAACTCGCTTGACTTCACCAAGCTCTACAAACGATACTCCCAATCAACAACGATTTCACTGGACCTACTACTACACTTTAAAAGTCAATATAATTCGGTACCTTAATACCACAATAATCGATACTCTCGAACTCCAGAACTAAAATACTTCATCACTTGCATTCTCATTCTCTATTACAAATCAGATTCCACTAGACCTTCAACTAAAAAACAGCCGAATAAAAATTATGACACTTTAACACTTCGATACTTTATACCTACTAAACCATATCAGCAACAGCCTTCAGCCGTTACTCCCAAATCTAAACGATTCATCAAAACTTACCAAACAAGTACACTACTTTGAACACCCCGTCATAACAAAGCTCTGTACACCAGGAAAAATATCTAATTCAAAGTAAGAGAAAACGAGACTTACAAGTCCTATCAAAATTAAATAACCGTTTGAAATGTTTAAAATTTAACTAACGAACTTATTTAAACGTTTTCTACATTAATTATGTGACACCAAATTACAAAGGCAAAGTGACTGGTAAAAAGCGCCCCGACCTTTCCAAATTAGGGATGTAGGGTTGCATTTTCACCATCGCGAATAAATATATGCCTATATAGACCTTATTTTGGGGTGTAGGTGCAAAATTAATAGTTCGTCCTGGGTTCCACCAATAGATCGCTACTTCTTATAAAAGTTATTAATTATTAGGTACTTTTTGATAATAGCGATTAAGCATTTTGCGCCCCCCCCCTAGGGATATATATATATATATATATATATATATATATATATATATATATATATATATATATATATATATATATATATATATATATATATATATATATATATATATATATATATATATATATATATATAGTATATATATGAATATATAATAAATATATAAATTATATATATATATATATATATATATATATATATATATATATATATATATATATATAATTTATATATTTATTATATATTCATATATATATATAGAGAGAGAGAGAGAGACCAAATCTGTCTATGAATTTTTTTGCTTATGTTGTCTTTAACATTTCTGCTCCTGTCTTACTTATTTCTCTAGGGCGACCATGCCACGTAGTATCACCGTGGCCAACCTGCCTAGACTGTCGCTGTTTCTAACCTTCGTGCTGGTCGGAAATTTCCTCGCACTGATTGCTTCGATATTCGTCATGCAAAAGTACAATATGGAACAGAAGCTTGTAAAAGTGAAAAAAGACGTTAAAAGGTCGATTTTTAAACTGCATCGATTGTATGTTGAAGATAGTTCAAGCGAAGGAGATTTAGTCGGTGTCGGACTGGAAAATAAAAAAGTAATTTCCGGTAACTCCAGAAAAATCAAGCACGAGTTATCGGACATGGAAACTCGGGGTAAATTTTATTGGGACAAAGTGCAAAGTGATGAAAGGGAAATAATCCATTTAAAAAAGAGCGTGGAGATTAAAGCTAAAAACAGCCAGTGTTGTGGGATCACGTCTAAACAGTGGGACGTGATCTTCTTTGTTCTGTTTCACGTGACATGCACGACGTTTTTCGTGCTGCTGTTAGCTTTAGACTAAAGTCAACTATTTTTTGTGTGGCTATATTGAGCTCCCGCAACCAAAGCAGTAATTTGCATCATCCTTTTGTATTAATTGCTTCATTTGCTAGAGTAATTTGTTATCAAGTTTTCTATATAGACCTAGGTTAAATACATTTTTTGTTGATTCAGATTAAAAATTTTTCATGGATTGGGTATTTTAAAATCATTAGTTTGATTATTAATCAGACACTAAATTTGGTGTTTAATAAAATAAAATGTGGGTTAGCTGCGTAACAATTTTAAGTTTTAAAATTAGTAGACATAAGATTAAATATAAAGAGGCAGTGTAATAAAATACTACTTTGCATCATCAAGTAGGTACAACAAAAAATATAGACCTCCACACTGCTCATTTGTGTTATACCGTAACTTTTTAAAGCTTCATTTCATTACTTTAATTAGTTAACAAATTTAAAGCACATGAACATTCTTTTTTAAAACCTCGGTTCGTTACTGTAAAAAAAATAATCAATTAATTAAAATGCATTAACTATCTTTTAAAAACTACGTTTCATTATTGTCAGTAGTTAGTCAGTTAATCGAAACATATTAACCAACCCGTTGTATCTTTGTTTCATTATTGTAGTTAGGTAACCAATGAATTAAAACATACTTAAAAGTCAGCTATTGTTCAATTAGTTATAACAGGTGTTCAATAACTCTGAAAAGATTGTAATGTTTTTGTTGTAATTAAAGACATCAGTCATCATTAGTTGTCGTTAGTCAGTCGATAAAACAAACAAACTGAATTTTAACAGAATCGATGTTGATTAGCAATATAAACATTGTAACAATAGCGCTTACGTTGACATGATTGTTGTTGAATGACACAATAAGCATGGTAACAATAGCACTACGTGAATGTAACTATAAGCAATGGTAACAACAGCACTACGTGAATGTAACTGATGTTGAATGGTACAATAAGCAATGGCAACAAGGGGGTTTACGTAACTTTATTGTTTGAAGGTGCACACATATCTGTATTCATTTCTATAACAAAAATATTGTATGAAAATTAAAAACGACATTTAATTCAACTTTGTCATGTTGTTATTTATTGCGTGAATATCATCTAGCGACGTTTTGTTTGAATAAACATGACCTTATTTTTTACAAGCAATTTAGAAACATGTTATATATATATATATATATATATATATATATATATATATATATATATATATATATATATATATATATATGGGTCTAGAACTAATTCCCGAAAGAGACTTGCCCGAATGCGACAACGCCCGATTGAATAATTGCCCTAAGGTCATTTTTTATGTGCATATAGTCATTTCATTGCTTTCATTGCACGTAACTTTAATGCTTTGTTCACTTTAAACCGACGGAGCAGATATTCGTACAATGGGTGTGTTTTCGTTTCACCCTGAGGTCTGAACCCCCCCCCCCCCCCCTCACACACACCGCACATACCCTGATGCTCTACTGCTTGACCAGATGCCAGTATTTTGCATTGCACAGAGATAAAAGTCAGACATGGTCTTGATCGGAAGTGCACTAGATCTGGATTAGAATTCTTGTATTTAGTTCTGCTACAGAATCAGGTAAGCACATACAAGAAAGGTCACATATCAAGGTAAGCAGATGAACAGATATGCAAGAAAGGTTCAAATATACTGGTAAACAGAGGAAAAGGTCACATACAAGTTCAAGGTAAACAAATTATTTAGTCCAAGCCAAATAAAGATTTGTACTTTTGTGAAAGTTTTTTGCGCACCGCTATGTCTAATGGAAGTTTAAATGTGTTCACAAAGTCATAAGATCACAACGCGTTAGACTTCCGAATTTTCTTCCATCATTCAATTCAACATCATATTGTGATGAAATAAAACACACTGTATTCGGGTGAGTGAGAATGTGTAGTTTGTGATATACAGCGAGGTATATTTTTAAAATTTGTGTGACATTAACACAGCAAATGAATTTCTCCTGATTAGGTGACTTGATCATAAAAGAAGATTAATACATTGATAATAAATGAGAACCCATCTAGATCTAGATGATTCTAGATCTAGATCTAGTTCTAGAATCTTATCTTATGTTTTAGATCTAGAATCTATACATAGTAGATATACAGTAATACAATACATATTTTTGATAGACCCAAGAAAAGAAAGGAAATGTACCTTGATTTAAGCTAAAATAATAAATGTTTTGAGTTTGAGCGATCTAAAAATTTGTAGACCGGATCTATCCGAAGGTATATTTTTAGCTAGTTGACACTGGCAATGACCCTTATAACAATCTTGTCACTAACCCTAACTCTTACCTTGACCTTATTAGACATCATAGCACTGAATATTATCCAACTTCATACCTTAACAGCAACAGCGATATCGAAAGAAAACAAGCTTCATTATCATTTTTCCGGTTTGTGCTTCTTAAGGCAGATAAAGTAGAGTTCATCTGTTTTAATGACTTCGGCATACATTGGGTGCGTGTGGGGGGGGGAGTATATATATATATATATATATATATATATATATATATATATATATATATATATATATATATATATATATATATATGTGTGTGTGTGTGTGTGTGTGTGTGTATACACATTAAAAACTTCTGTATAGACAGGAACCAGAACCAGTGCCAGAAATGTATGCCCTCCCACCTGACATAGTCTACATCTGCCTGCTGTCGACGTGGTGTATAGGGATAGCCAGGGGGAAAGAAGAAAGTAACATCAATGTGTTGAGGACAAACTTACTGAAAACCCCGTCATTGAAGGCGTGTCCTACCTTTTCACAGATCAACAATGTGGGAATAAACTTCACATTTTTTCTTCACGAGGTGAGAATTAATTAAGAATGTCTAAAGTTTTTTTTTTTTTTGGGCAGTTTTAAAGAATAAGTAAAGTTCATAAAAATAAAAGGGGGACCTCTAACCTGTAAGTCTCGAGTTCGAATCAGGGCTCAAGTCAGACCGTCCACCCAGCTATGATGGGTAAGTAACGGCGGCTGGGCATAGTGCTGACCACACTATCCCTTCATATGCCGAGGCCACTGAAACAGGTGAACTCTACTTCACTTGCCTCGTAGATCATCAGGCTTGAAAGGGAACTTTACTTAGTATAAAAATATAAACGATGTTTAGTAAGAGAACCTGATTATCAGACAGATGGATTCTAAATTGTATTATTGTTTTTTTATTTTCAGCTTGTCTTATTATGATAGTAATGAACCGTGTAGTTATATCGTGGTGACCTAGTATTATGTTGGTGACGTATCATTGTAAAATAGGTAACCTGTGTCGTTATGTTTTGGTGACTTGTGAAATTTGTTGTCGTGACCTGTTTCTTAATATTGTTGGTGACCGGTAATTGCAACGTAAGTGACGTGTGTAATATTTTGGTGACCTAGTATTATGTTGTTGGTGACCTGTAACTGTAATGTTGGTGACGTGTGTAATATTTTGGTGACCTAGTAGTATGTTGTTGGTGACCTGTAATTGTAATGTTGGTGACGTGTGTAATATTTTGGTGACCTAGTATTATGTTGTTGGTGACCTGTAACTGTAATGTTGGTGACGTGTGTAATATTTTGGTGACCTAGTATTATGTTGTTGGTGACCTGTAACTGTAATGTTGGTGACGTGTGTAATATTTTGGTGACCTACTATTATGTTGTTGGTGACCTGTAATTGTAATGTTGGTGACGTGTGTAATATTTTGGTGACCTAGTATAATGTTGTTGGTGACCTGTAACTGTAATGTAGGTGACGTGTGTAATATTTTGGTGACCTACTATTATGTTGTTGGTGACCTGTGATTGTAATGTTGGTGACGTGTGTAATATTTTGGTGACCTACTATTATGTTGTTGGTGACCTGTGATTGTAATGTTGGTGACGTGTGTAATATTTTGGTGACCTACTATTATGTTGTTGGTGACCTGAAATTGTAATGTTGGTGACGTGTGTAATATTTTGGTGACCTACTATTATGTTGTTGGTGACCTGTAATTGTAATGTTGGTGACGTGTGTAATATTTTGATGACCTACTATTATGTTTTTGGTGAAATGTAATTACAATGTAAGTGACTTTGTGTTTTTGGGGAACTGTGTTATGAGCTACTTATTTGTGATCTTTTGTCAAAGATGTTTTTATAGATAGTCCATATCAAATTGCGTCTTAATAGCGACCTCTTCGTATTTGTTTCTTTTTTACTGGGCAAAATCAATGTCTTTTTGACATTTTAAAATTCCCTTTTCATCTATTTTTTTGAAAGACAAGTCCAATACGTGTGAATGCACGTATCATAACCACAGTTCTTTGATAGATGTCTATAGGGGTCATCCATAAATGACGTCACGCTTTTTTGACGATTTTTACCTCCCCCCTCCCCTCCGTCACACGTCGTCACAAAAAGCCACACCCCCCCCTAAAATGACGTCACACCTCAGCCTACAACCCCTCTCAAAATTGCTGTTGAATATTTCGTAAAAGATCGATATTTTTCCAAAATCTTGTAAGAATTTTGTCAACATAGAGTATTTTGATCAATTCATATTACAATTCTAAAACGCGAAATAACGGCTAAAACTCATTTTCTAATATTGCTTTTTTATAATGAAAAAAAAGTGACGTCACACCATCTGAAAGCCCCCCCCCCTCCCTCCCCCTCATCACACACCGTCACAAAAATACCGACCCACCCTCCCCCCTTCGAGTGTGACGTCATTTATGGACGACCCCGTAATAAAAAGTGTTTGCGTCAAAATGTCATTAAAAATGTCAGTTTCATGTCTATCTTAACGTCGTTTCTACCTGCCCCCCTCTCGTGTCCCAGGTAATATCGCTAGACAGCCCGGGTGTCTTGAAGACGAGGGCCTACATTGAGTTCTCCTGGAAGTCCGCAACTCCGTGGCCCACTGAACCTAAAGTATCCATAACCAGCCTTAAAATCAGTTCTAATCAGTAAGTTCTGGGGACGGCGTGGTCGAATGGTAGAGTTTACGATTGCGAACTCAAAAATATCGAGTTCGAATCCTGGGTTCGTGTCGGTATCCACTAAACTCTGATGACTATCTGACTCACGTTAGGGCAAGTAAAGGCGGCCGGGCATAGTGCTGACCACATTTATCCCCCTGCTGCAGTCATTGAAATAGTTAAACTCTACTTCATCTGCGCCATGTGTTACGAACGGTATAAAGAAATCATGTTAAATCTCAATTCAGCTTTTCTTGCTTCGATTAAAAATAAATAAATTTCTATAAAACAATTCAGTTTAAAACAAAATTGTAATTAAAAAAATACTTCTAAAATATAAATAATAACTGATATTTGAAGATGTTGAAATTTAATATAATTAACATTTGATTAGAATATGGCATCCAAAAGTTTTCGTGTTGAACTCGGTAAACAACTCACATTCTTCCATGAGCCCGACTGCGGACCTCCTAGTCTTCACCTCCAGCAGCGTCGTCTACTTCAAAACACGGCTGGTGCTTGAGACGATGTGCTCCAATAATTTACAGTTCTTTCCCTTTGATGAACAGGCAAGTACATGATGTTGCGATGGGTTCACCAGAAAATTGCGCTATGGGAAAATTGCGCAACGGAAAACATGCGCAAACAGAAAAATGCGCAACGGAAAACATGCGCAAACAGAAAAATGCGCAAATAAAAACTAATTATACAAATACAGTTAAAATTTGTCTTATTTTATTGAAATGTTTTCTTATGCTACAATGTACACGTAGTCACTCTTTGTTAATATCTATAAATGCTCGATTTAAAAAAAATTGCCCTTGCGCGCTTTTTTTGTGAGCATTTTTCGGTTGCGCAATTTTCCGTGGTGCGTCTTTCCGGTCACCGTTGTGATGATGTCAGGTTATATCTCAAATTTTTTTCTATCGAATATGTGTGATGGGCTCTTACTTGTTTTACTTTTATTTTATGTATGAAACAAAATGAATTGGAAAATTTGCAATAATGTATATTAGTTTTTTCGGACGGAGTGGCCTAGCGGTGCTGGACTGCTTACTCTAAGTCTAGAGTTCGAATCCGGGTTGAAGTCAGTAGACCGTCTCTGAGTCCACCAAGCTCTGATGGGTACCTAACTCCCGTTAGGGTAAGTAAAGGCGGCTGACCACACTATCCCTTCATATGCCTCGGTCACAGAAACAAGTGGGCTCTACTTACCAGCCG